CACAATCACATAAATGAGGGGAGTAAAGATGCAGCCACATAGAAAAGGGTGACAGGCTATAGAGACAGAGCCGTATTTGAGCAGGGAAAAGCCTCCAGTTCTACTAAAAACAATAGATCTATAGAAATGTGCTAATGTATTTCTATGTATGACTTCTCCCCCCCCCCCCCCCCCCCCCTCTCCCTTGGCAAGATTAAGTACTAAATCTAAGCATGTGGTAGATTTGTTTTCAGCTATTATGGTTAAAAATTGCCATTGTAGTGAAGAGCTAGGACTATTGTCAGATAGCCATGCTTGAAATGTTAATGCTTCTAACATGGGCACCAATGTAACTCACATACTTATAATGGGAATATATATATATATATATATATATATATATATATTTATATATACAGTTGTGTTCAAAATAATAGCAGTGTGTTGAAAAAAGTGAATAAAACTCAAAATCCTTCTAATAGCTTTTATTTCCATACACACAAATGCATTGGGAACACTACACATTCTATTCCAAATCAAAACATGAAGAAAAATAGATCAAATTTGTGTTGTTCCTCTAAAAAAAAATTGAAGAAAAGTGAATATTAGACTGTTCAAAAAATAGCAGTGTTTGTATTCTTGTTTACAAACTCAAACATTCACTATATAAACTGAAAAATGTTTGAAGATTTTGCTTTCCTTTGAATCACTTAATGAATATTTTGTTGTATAAGCACTGTTTCTGAGAACTGCTGTACATCTGTGTTGCATGGAGTCAACCAACTTCTGGCACCTGTGTGAACAGGTATTCCAGCCCAGGATGATTGGACTACATTCCACAGTTCTTCTCTATTTCTTGGTTTTGCCTCAGAAACTGCATTTTTGATGTCACCCCACAAGTTTTCTATTGGATTAAGATCTGGGGATTGGGCTGGCCACTCCATAACATCAATCTTGTTGGTCTGGAACCAAGATGTTGCATGTTTACTGGTGTGTTTGGAGTCGTTGTCTTGTTGGAACACACATTTCAAGGGCATTTCCTCTTCAGCATAAGGCAGCATGACCTCTTCAAGTATTCTGATGTATTCAAACTGATCCATGATCCCTGGTATGCGATAAATAGGCCCAACACCGTAGTATGAGAAACATCCCCATATCATGATGCTTGCACAACCATGCTTCACTGTCTTCACAGTATACTGTGGCTTGAATTCAGTGTTTGGGGGTCGTCTGACAAACTGTCTCCGGCCACTAGACCCAAAAAGAACAATCTTACTTTCATCAGTCCACAAAATGTTGCGCCATTTCTCTTTAGGCGAGTCAATGTGCTCTTTGGCAAATTGTAACCTCTTCAGCACGTCTTTTTTTCAACAGTGGGACTTTGCGGGGGCTTCTTGCAGATAGCTTGGCTTCACATGGGCGTCTTCTAATTGTAACAGTACTCACAGGTAACTTTAGACACCTTCTTTGATCTTCCTGGAGCTGATTGTTGGCCGAGTCCTTGCCATTTTGGCTATTCTTCTATACATTCGAATGGTAGTTTTTCGCTTTCTTCCATGTCTTTCAGGTTTTGGTTGCCATTTTAAAGCATTTGCGATCATTTTAGCTGAGCAGCCTATAATTTTCTGCACTTCTTTATATGTTTTCCCCTCTCCAATCAACTTTTTAATCAAGGTACGCTGTTCTTCTGAACAATGTCTGGAATGACCCATTTTCCTCAGAATTTCAGAGAGAAATGCACTGTAACCAGCATGTACAACATTTGCTGCCTTCCTTCCTTAAATAAGGGCAATAATTGCCACCTGTTTTTCAAAGAATGAATGACCTCACTAATAGAACTCCACACTGCTATTATTTTGAACATGCCCCTCTCAATTAGTGATTCAATTACACAGAATCAGCAGCATGCATGTCATGACTGTTGGGTCTGTTGGATTTCTATTACTCTACTACACCTGCTAGTAAATTTTTTGCCATGTAGAAATATAATCTCTACCAAAAACAGTGATTGATCAGGTTAGTGATGTCTGACTGCTATTATTTTGAACACAACTGTATATTATATATGTATGTGTGTATATATGTGTATATATATATATATATATATATATATATATATATATATATATACACATATATATATATACAGTTGCAAGAAAAAGTATGTGAACCCCTTGGGATTACGTGGAGTTTTGCATGAATTGGGCATAAAATGTGCTCTGAACGTCATCTAAGTCACAACAATAGAAGAACACAGTCTGCTGAACATAATACTACACAAGCATTAGATGTTACCATGGTTTAATTGCACATAACATGTAAACATTCACAGTGCAGGGAGGAAAAAGTATGTGAACCTTTGGACTTAATAACTGGTTGACCCTCCTTTGGCAGCAATAATCTCAACCAAAACGTTTCCTGTAGTTGCAGATCAGACCTGCACAACGATCTGGAGTAATTTTGGACCACTCCTCTTCACAAAACTGTTTCAGTGTAGCAATATTCTTGGGATGTCTGGTGTGAATCGCTCTCTTAAGGTCATGCCACAGCATTTCAATCGGGTTGAGGTCAGGACTCTGACTGGGCCACTCCAGAAGGCATATTTCTGTGCTGTTGCAGCCATTGTTTTGTTGAATTACTTGTATGCTTTGGGTCATTGTCCTGTTGCATCACCCATCCTCTGCGGAGCTTCAGTTGGCGGACAGATGGTCGTATTTTTCTGCAAAATGTCTTGATAAACTCTGGAATTCATTTTCCCATCAATGACAACAATCCGTCCAGGCCCTGAGGCAGCAAAGCAGCCCCAAACCATGATGCTCCCTGCGCCATGTTTTACAGTGGGGATGAGGTTTTGATGTTGGTGTGCTGTGTCTTTTTTTCTCCACACATAGTGTTGTGTGTTCTTCCCAAACAACTCAATCTTGGTTTCATCTGTCCACAGTATATTTTGCCAGTAGTGCTGCGGAACATCCAGGTGCTCTTTTGCAAACTTCAAACGTGCTGCAATATTCTTTTTGGACAGCAATGGCTTCCTCCGTGGTGTCCTCCCATGTACTCCATTCTTGTTTAATGTTTTCCTTACTGTAGATGTGTCAACAAAAATGTTAGCATGTGCCAGAGATTTCTGTAGGTCTTTAGCTGACACTCTGGGATTCTTCTTTACCTCATGCAGCATTCTGCGCTGTGCTCTTGCAGTCAGTTTTACAAGACGACCAAGCCTACGGAGAGTAGCAACAGTGCTAAAAACTTTCTCCATTTGTAGACAGTCTGTCTTACCGTGGACACATGAACATCAAGGCTTTTGGAGATACTTTTGTAACCCTTTCCAGCTTCATGCAAATCAACAATTCTTGATCGTAGGTCTTCTGAGAGCTCTTTTCTGCGAGGCATGGTTCACATCAGACAGTGCTTCTTGAGACCAGTAAACCCAAAACAGGTGTGTGTTTTTTAAGGGCAGGACAGCTGTCAAAAACACATCCAATATCATCACACTGATTGGAGTCAAGGTTGGCTCACTCCTGGCTCCAATTAGCTCTGGGAGAAGTCATTAAGCTAGGGCCTCACATACTTTGTCCTCCCTGCACTGTGAATGTTTACATGTTATGTGCAATTAAACAATGGCAACATCTAATGTTTGTGTAGTATTATGTTCAGCAGACTGTGTTCTTTTGTTGTGACTTAGATGACGTTCAGAGCACATTTTATGCCCAATTCATGCAAAACTCCACGTAATCCCAAGGGGTTAACATACTTTTTCTTGCAACTGTATATATATATATATATATATATATATATATTTATACACTGCTCAAAAAAATAAAAGGAACGCTTTTAAATCAGAGTATAGCATCAAGTCAATTGAAATCCTGGGATATAGATCGGGTCAGTTAAGTAGCAGAGGGAGTTGTTAATCAATGAACTTAACAACAGGTGTACTAGATGGGCAACAATGAGATGACCCCCAAAACAGGAATAGTTTTACAGGTGGAGGCCACTGACATTTTTTTCCCTACTCACCTCTTCTTACTGTTTTTCACTGGTTTTGCATTTGGCTAGGGTCAGTGTCACTATCGGTAGCTTGAGGTGATACCTGGACCCTATAGAGGTTGCACAAGCAGTCCAACTCCTCCAGGATGGCACATCAATCCGTGCCATTGCCAGAAGGTTTGCTATATCTCCCAGCGCAGTCTCAAGAGCATGAAGGAGATTCCAAGAGACAGGCAGTTACTCCACACTGCTATTATTTTGAACATGCCCCTTTCAATTAGCGATTCAATTACACAGAATCAGCAGCATGCATGTCATGACTGTTGGGTCTCTTGGATTCCTATTTCTCAACTACACCTGCTAGTAAATTATTTGCCATGTAGAAATATAATTTCTACTAAAAACAGTGATTGATCAGGTTAGCGATGTCAGACGCTATTATTTTGAACACAACTGTATATATATATATATATATATATATATATATATATACTATATTGCCAAATGTATGTGCCTCTACACGCACATGAACGTTAATGGCATCCCAGTCTTAGTAGGATTCAATATTGAGTTGGCCCACCCTTTGCAGCTATAAAAGCTTCAACTCTTCTGGGAAGGCTGTCCACAAGGTTTAGGAGTGTGTCTATGGGAATGTTTGACCATTCTTTCCAGAAACACATTTGTGAGGTCAGGCACTGATGTCGGACGAGAAGGCCTGGCTCACAGTCTCCATTCTAATTCATCCCAAAGGCTTTATATCAAGTTGAGGTCAGGACTCTGTGCAGGCCATTCAAGTTCCTCCACCCCAAACTCGCTCATCCATGTCTTTATGGCCCTTGCTTTGTCCACTGGTGCACAGTCATATTGAAACAGGAAGGGGCAATCCCCAAACTGTTCCCACAAAGTTGGAAGCATGAAACTGTCCAAAATGTCTTGGTATGCTGATGCCTTAAGAGTTCCTATCTGTGAAACTAAGGGGCCAAGCCCAACCCCTGAAAAACAACCCCACATCATAATCCTCCCTCCATCAAATTTTACACTTGGCACAATGCAGTCAGGCAAGTACCGTTCTCCTGGAAACTGCCAAACCCAAACATGTCCATTGGATTGCCAGACAGAGAAGCATGGGTCATCACTCAGAGAACACATCTCCACTACTCTAGAGTCCAGTGTCGGCGTGCTTTACACCACTTTATCCGACGCTTTGCATTGCACTTGGTTACATAAGGCTTGGATGCAGCTGCTCGGCCATGGAAACCCATTCCATGAAGCTCTCTATGCACTGTTGTTGTGCTAATCTGAAGGCCACACAAAGTTTGGAGGTCTTTAGCTATTGATTCTGCAGACAATTGGCGACTTCTGTGCACTGTGCGCTTCAGCATGCGTTGACCCCGCTCTGTCATTTTACATGGCCTACCACTTAGTGGCTGAGTTGCTGTTGTTCCCAGTTGCTTCCACTTTGTTATAATACCACTAACAGTTGACCGTGAAATATTTAGTAGCAAGGAAATTTCACAGATGGACTTATTGCACAGGTGCTAACCTATCACGGTACCACGCTTGAATTCACTGAACTACTGAGAGCGACCCATTCTTTCACATGTTTGTAGTAACAGTCTGCATGCCTAGGTGATTGATTTTATAGACCTGTGGCTATGGAAGTGACTGGAACACCTGAATCCAATGATTTAGAGGGGTGTCCCAATACTTTTGTCAATATAGTATATATATATTTATGCAGGGATGTTTGATTCCTATCGCCCCCACGCCCGGGACATGTAGTTCCGGTCATTGGGCAGGTCGTTATTTTCTACTTTTGCCCAGCTTGCAAGCAGCGGGCTCACCTGTCAGGTGGAAGCATTCAGGCGGCAGCACTGTAGCCCAATTGCTTCCATACAGTGCCAGCCTCCCCCCCCCCGGGCTCCGCTTGCCCATCTCCCCTCCCCTTCTTGTCCTGACCTGGAAGTGAAGTTATGATGTCACTTCCGGGTCCTCGAAAGATTCACAACCATGGAAGCCGGGAAAGAATGTAATGCGGTGCAACGTGCACCACATTACATTCAGTGGAGCAGAGGGGGGACATCCAGGGTCTAAAAGATGCCTCAATAAAGAGAACCTGTTACCAAAAAGTCATCACATAGGGGTGAAAGTCCCCTATGTGATGAAAAAAAAAAAGTTTTTTTTTTAATTGTAAAAAATTAAAGTTACACCCAAGCACATACCATCCCCCCACCCAAAAAAATTGATGCCCCCCCACATATACGCACGTACAAACGTAAAAGCACACACTGGGGTGCCTACGCATGAAAATGTTGATTTTGATACACATGTCACATATAACCGCGCACGCCAGAATGAGAGCAATAATTATAGCAAGAGACCTCCTCCATAACGCTACACTGATGACCTATAAGGAGCTTTAAAAGTGTCGACCTATAGAAAGTATAGGGTACTGAAGTTCGTCGCCATTTCACGAGCGTGCACAAATTTAAGGTTTGACAAGTCGGTGCAACCTCATCTTTTATATTTTACAAAAAAATAGGGTAATTTACTTCTTTTTTGTGCCCTAAAATGAACTTACTTGTATTTTTTACTGCAATTTTGCAGTAATTTCGTGTGACATTAAAAAAATTAGAACCACCACTATTTTATTCTCTAGGGTCTCTTCTTTCAGAAAATATATCATGTTTGGGGGTTTTGTGTAATCTTCAGGCCTAAAATGATTTTTTAAACTTGTGCAAAAATGTGAAAACGGCCCTGGCAGCGAAATGGATAAAGGATAAGTCCAACACTCCCCTTTCCTGACCAGCACCCAATCAGTGCTCATTACACTGCAAGGTCTCTCTCCTCCCTGCTAGTCCCGGGGTGCGGTGCTGGAGACAGGCAGGGAGCTGAGGAGGAAATAAACAGCGCAATGTTAAAAATATTTAACGTTTTAATGCAGGCCATAGATGGGGAGAAAAACGGCAGATTTTCAGCCGATTAACGAACTATCGGTCGGTCTAAAAAACTTACCTGACCACCAATTATTACGAAAATCGGCCGATTAATGAGTAACCTATAACGGGAAATGATGTCATTTTGTGGCCTTTGTGATCCTTTTTCGGAAAACGATCGTTCGTTTTTGACCATCAATGAGGATAAAGTCGGGCGTTTTTCGAAAATTTTCCAACATCACCGATAATCTGAAAGTCCAAAATACACGAAAAACGGCCGACAAAATCGTCCACTAACGATAAGATAATCGGCCGGTTTTTATTTTCGGACGAAAAATCGGCCGTTTTTCTCCCCATCTATGGCCTGCATAAGTCGCCAAAAAGCCCCTTTTGTTTTTAAAAGCCCCAGAAAAATTCCTAATACCACATCTGATTTAAATACAATTTTGGTTAAAAAAAATGTATCTGGACAAGTAGATTGTAATGGGGGACAAGTAGATTGTCATGGGGAACAAGTAGATTGGGGCACAAATTTAGTCCCTGGACAAGTAGTTTTTTCAAAAATTTTTACACCCATATATAAATATATATACGTTATACATATAGAAAATGGTATGCAGTAAGAATGTCATGGTGTAATGGTTTACAGTTATGCTGTACAATTATACTTGTGCAGCCGCTCTGTGTCTGGTAGAATAAGTTCTAGGAATTACCTTGGCTGAGTTCCTTAATGGAATGGAGCCAAGGTACTTCTATGCTCAAGTCCTTGAGTTGTCTCCTATCAGCGCTCGAGCTCTGCACCCGGAGATAATCTGATGGGATCTGTTATTGGGTTCAAATACCAAGGACATTCTCAAATAGTACAAGGATCAGTGCCATTTGAAGGCCAATACATGATCTGAGCCAATTCTTTTGAGACAGAATCACTGGGACCAGTGTTTGCAGTCCACCTCATATTACACAGTTTGTTGCCTGTTCTTACATAAGAAACAGTAGCTGCCTGATTTTGTATTTCAATGGTTTTTATTAATTTTAAATAGTAGAAAACAGAGGCAACAAAACACACCCATGCAGGGGCTATCAATTGCACCGATAAAAAAGGCATAATAGAGCAAACAACGCTCTAATTCCAATAAGGCAAAACATATGCCCACGCAGGGGCTATCAATGGCACATAGGTTACAATAACATCAGTGAAACTCTGACTATCGCAACTAAAGACAGCTGTCCACTGTCACACCAAAACAAACAGAAAAGGAGAGAAGAAGAGCAGAAAAGAAAGAAAAAAAAAAACCACACACACCAAAGAGCAGGGGTCCACGAGCGCCAATACCAAACTCCATTACCTCCCCACACTGGCCAGGGGGAGCGTGGGGAAGGCGTATTGCAACCACGGCTCCCATATTTTCGAAAATTTATGTTGAGAGTCATTGCATATACTCGACATCTGTTCGTTGAGCATCATAGTAGTCATACGATCCCGCATCCCCGACTCTTCCAGGCCTGAGCAATTGTCCTAGTGGCCGATAAAAACAAATAGGAAGCCAACCGCTGCTGATGAGCCAAGAGGCCCGGTATGGGGCAATGAAGCAAAGCATACCGAGCATCCCGGCGTATGGAGAGATGGAACAAAGTGAAAAGGAGGCCAAACACACGAGACCAAAAACGAACCAATCTCGGGCATGACCACCAGGTATGCAGTACATCGCCACGATGGCCACAATCCCGAAAACATCGATCACTACAGGCAGGGTTAGCCTGGGCCAGACAAGCCGGAACCCAGTACCAACGAAACAATACCTTGTAGGCTGCTTCCAGCATGGTTAGCTCCCTGATTTTAATGCTTAAAGTGTTACTAAACCCACAACAGTAAAATCAGTCTGTATATGCAGTAAAACAATGCTTGTTATACTCACTGTGGAAACTAAGAGGTTTATCCTCTGCATTGTGTAAAAAGGCTGTTTGATCCTGTCTTCTTTGATCCTCCCCTTCTTCCACTGCTCCCAATCCATCTGCTGATAGTACAGAGCTCTAGGAGTAATTATACACATACTCAGTTTAGTGTGTATGGCTGGAGAGGTTCTTTTTTTTTTCTTTGGGAGGGTGCATGTGATCAGCACAGGGCCAATCAGCACTGTCCAGACAGGAGGTCAGGGGTTATGCAACATCATAGGACAGTCAGAGCAGAATGAAAACTCCTCCTACAAGCTTTAACCAGTGCTCAGCTGGACACTGATAGAAGTTACAATACTGCTATATACTATTGATGAGAAAAGGTATTTAGCAGTTTATATTTACTACAGTAATTGCCATGTTGTGTGTACTGTGGGAGACCAGATATAGTGAATGCAGGGTCCTGGGTTTAGTAACACTTTAAGGAGCTGGAGACTATTCTGAACTGATTAAAACGGTCACTGGTAGTTATTAGGTGGTTCCGTAGGTGAGTGCTGGGGCAAATCCCCCTTTAGACGTTTGAGCTTCTAACTACCTTACTCATACTATAGAGCCATCATTTCAGCGGAAACTGGACTTGAACGAGGAAGGAAGAGCCGCCATGTTGGGAGAATACAATTGTTTAATGAAAGTTTAACAAATTTAAAGATTGAGGAAAAATTTGGGGGGGAATTGCCTCCCCATTCTTCAGGGCTGTTAGTATGTGCTAACAGAGATAGGTAGGCTCCATGGTGGCACCTGAATGTCTTGCAGTGGAAAATGCTGGCTTATGTGATGCAGAGGCCCTACTATACAGTAAGCAGCTATATAATGGGGCTACCTCTAGAGCATCTCCCATCTTAAATATGCTCATATTTAATGTTAATGTGTACTGAACAGTAAACTGGACTTTAGTGTGATCACACATATCGGATCTCAATTACTTCACTGCAGACCTCAGATCAGCCCTAATTCATGTACCTTCACTCTGCAGATCAGTCCCATTTCATGCACCTTCAGACCTCAGATCAACCTCAACCAGGGCCTTCTTTAAAGTTGATTGGACCATGGGCAAACATTTTTTTGGGCCCCCCCATACAATTTTACTGGTACATTACACAGGATCCCCTCCCCCATACTACACAGGGTCCAACCCCCATACTGCTGTCATCATTACACAGACCCCCCTTCCTCATATTACCCCCATCATTGTACAGTAAGCACATTTGACCTTCTTTTAATTCATGGACATGTGTTTGAGTCCATTGGATTGGCACATGGTGGTGGAGCACTATTAGAAAATGGAAAGAAGAGTAATTGCTAAGCACCACAAGATTCTGCTTGTACACTGGATGGTGTGAGACTTTATACTAATATAAGATTTTTGCTTATGGCGGACACTTTTATTTAGTACTACTTGCCTATTTAAGCAAAATACCTTCTTTCAAATATAGATTTCTACTTTTGAGAATGTATCTTACACTATAGAAGGGGCAGCTACGTATTAGTTATTACTATTTTTTATTTTCATTTTTGTCTAATACCACTTCTCATTTTATGATTCATTCATGTGGGTGATTATCATTTATGGGTTTCCTGGGATATTTTTTATTAATGTAGAGGTTCATAAGAGGAGGCGCCTAGTCTGATTAACTCCAGATGTCGGTGAGTGGCCCCATATACACACTGTCAGTGTTCCGTACCATATTAAAAAAAAACACTTATTCATACTGTACAGGCCACCGCACCCATGTGAATGAG